TTCCCCCACCACTGCCCCCTGCCCAGGCAGCGACGGTGGTTGTGGCGAGAAGAGGCTGCCTGCGAGGCAAGCAAGAGAGAGGAAGAGGAGGAGGAAGAGAGCGGAGGAGCGGAAGGCAGGGCCCTGTCCGGGGCACTCCCGGAAGCTTCAGCCAGCTCTGGCTCCTGGGCTGGCACGCCCCTGTTGAGCTCGGTGCCTCGGATGCGGGGGAAAGGGTGCATTTGCACGGGGAGGCTGTAGCGCAACCACGGCTTCCAGGGACGCCGCCTTGAGCGCTTCACCTGTGTGGATACTGCTGCCACTTGCCATTCCGTTCAGACTTCTCTGTTTGCCCTTAGTTCACCTGCCCTTCTCGCAGCAACAGCAGGTAAATTATCATTGTCATCAGTCTACAGCTGCATGTTGTAATGCCACGCATTTTGCGTTGTGACGTGAGGAAGACCTCGTGCTTTACAGAAGAACTCTTGCTCCTTTGACGCTCGAGACAGCAGGCACTGACTCACCGACTGGGCAGACATTCACAAAGCATGTGGGCAGTCACATGGAGGGGATGCTCTGATCTGGAGCCCTGCACTGAGCATGGACTGGGGAGATGTCATGCTCTTGGCAGATTACCCACTGATGCCATGGCCTTGCTCACTGTCCTCCTGGTTCAGGGAGTACTGCAAGCTGGAATGGATTTCTTCTCTCTCTCACAGTGGCCTAACAACTGATCGATAGGAAAATAGTGGCCTAGAATGTTTTCAATGAATGAGAAGAAATACAGCAGCTCAAGAATGATAGGTACAGTGGTACCTCGGCTCACAAACACCTCAGTTCATGACCAGATTTGGTCGTGAACAAAAATTTCATAAAAATGTTGACTCAGGTCACAAACTCTGCATGAGGCGACGATCGCAAGTGCACCCCCCCCCCCCCGCAAGTGGGGAGATGGCAGGAATCGCACCTGTCTTTCCTGCACCAGCGCAATCGTACCCGTCCCCCGCTGAGTGCACCCACGTTCGCGCCAGTTTCCCCTCCCCATCCAGCGCGCCCGTGATTGCACCCGTCCCTCCCCCCGCCAGTGCACCGGGATGATGGTGTGATCTCAGTCCTGCTGGGGTGGGCAGGAAGATGGCTGTGCTCGTGGTCGGGGGGGGGGTGTGGGGGGGGGGGGGGGAGATGGCTGCGATCTTTGTTGTGCTTTGTCACTTTGCTTCACATTTTTCTGATTAAAAAAAAAAGTTACAGAACAAATTAACCTTATTTACATTGAACCTTATGGGGAACTTTAACTTGGCTCATGACCAATTTGGGTCATGACCAGAGTCCTGGAGCGGATTAGGTTCGTGAGCCAAGGCAAATGGTCAACGATCATCTAAGTGGGGAGAAAGAGTTCAGATCTCCAGGGCCTGATGAGGTCTACCCTGGAGGGACACCCTGGAGTCACCCTAGAGCTGAGAAATCAAAGAGGACAGGAGAAGTGCCAGAAGACTGAAGAGCTAATGTTGTCCTATCTCCAAGAAAGGAAAAAAAAAAAGTATAATTGGCAACTGCAGACCAGTCAGTCTGGGAAAATTCTGGACTATAAGACAGTCTGCAAACACCTGGAAAACAATGCTGTGGTTACTAGAGATTTCCTCAAGAACAAATCCTGGCAGACTAATTTGATTTCACTTTTTGACTGGGTAACCTCCCAAATGGACGGTGGCAATGTGGTGGACATAATCTTGACTGTGTACTGTTTTGTTGTATTTTGTTTATTGTTGTGTTTTGATTGCTTTTATTGTTATAGTTTGATTCTATATCACTGTAACCTGCCTAGAGGGTCCTCAAGGCCAATATAGTGGAATGTAAGTTCAGTAAATAAATACTTGCATAAGTAATCTATCCTGACTTCAGCACAGCTTTTGACAAAGTGCGCTACCAATCTCCGGGCTCGCAAGGCAGCTAAACATGGGCTGAATGGAACGAAGATCAGGTGGAGCCACAGTTGGGTGCAGAACTGCTCCTCATTGGCACCTTCTGAAACTGGGGAAAGGCCACCAGTGAGGTAGCGCAGGAGCCAGTCCTGGGCCCAGTGCTCTTTGACATTTCATTAATGACTTGGATGAGGCAGTGCAGGGAACAATTATCTGATCTGCAGATGACACAAAACTGGGTAGGACAGCCAATACCCTAAAAGACAGAAAGAAGATTCAAGGTGATCTTGACAGGCTAGAGCAGGGGTTCTCAAACGTTTTAAACAGGGGGCCAGTTCACTGCCCCGCAGACTGTTGGGGGGGGTGGACTATAGTTTGAAAAATTAAAATTAATTTTAAAAAGTAATTAAAATTAATTAAAATTACAAAATTAATTAAAAACAAAAATGTTCGCTCCGCTCGCTCAGGCTGCAGCAGAAGCTCAAGATGACGCTGCACCACCCGCCGAAAGGGAGAGCACGGCACGAGGGGGAGCCGTGAGGGCGGCTCGCTTGGTCGAGGCCTTCCTGGCGAAAGTCCCCTGGCAGGCGCTTGCGGGAGGTGGGGCAGGAGTGGGAGGCCAGAGAGGCGGGCTCGGAGTGGTTCCTCCGGCCAGGAGAGTGCTGCGAGGAGGGAGGCAAGGGCTTCTTTCTGAGGTGAGGGATGGGGCCATGGCTGGCCGAGAGGAGTGCCTCCTGCCCCTCCCTGCTGCAGGGGGAGGAAGCATGTGGCTGCTCTATGGTGGTGGCAGCTTGCCCATAGAAGACCGTGGCTCCTGTACCTCCACCTCATCCCTCTCTGGGCAAGCCACCATTGGGCTCAGTGAGGCGGCTGTGGCTCACATAATTAAAAATAGATTTAAAAAGTTATATTTTTCTTACCTTCAATCCTTTTTTAGTGTCTTTGTCTCTCTCTCTGTCTCTTCTGTCCTCCTCTCTTCTGTTTCCCACTCCATATTCCCACTCTGTATATACATGCAAGGGAAGCTGGCACATGTGCAGTTGAGCTATTGCAATTTGGTGCTTGTGCCGGCTCTCTGCTCATTTTCAAAGAATGCCTGTGCTGGCTCAGAGCTTTTGGACTAGCTTGGAGATCGTTTTCTCTGAGGCGGGCTGGATAAATGAGCATGGTGGGCCATATCCAGCCTGCAGGCCATAGTTTGAGGACCCATGTGCTAGAGCCATGAGCTGAAAGCAACAGAATGAAATTAAGTGGGGACAAATGCAAAGTTTGCACTAAGGAAAAGGGAACCAAATGCACTTGGTTCAACAAATGTGCAAGTATTGTTCAACAATATCTTGAGTCAACAGTGTGATGTGGATGCAAAAAGGGCTAATGCTATTAATTGAAGGATTATAGGTATTGTGTGTGTGTAGAGAGAGAGTATATTATAGGTATAAGTACAGGCTCCATTAATAGAAGTATCGCTTGCAAATTCTTAAAGGCGAAAGTTTGCCTTTATGGTTAGGCTCCATCTGGAGTCCTGCATCCCGTTCTGGGCACCCCAGTTTAAGAAAGGAACAGACAAGCAGGAAAGGGTTCAGAGGAGAGTATCAGGAATGAAACGGGGACTGGAAACAAAGCCCTGTGAAGAGAGGTGGAGAGAAATGGGCATGTTTCACCTCAAAATATTAAACTGTATAATAACAACAAAAATGGTGTATACAGTAGCACTCTACATGTACTTGAAAGGCTGTCACAAAGCAGAAGGCGAGGATCTCTTCTCAATCATCCCAGAGTACAGGACACAGAATAAGGTGCTTAAGTTACAGGAAGCCAATATTAAAAAGAACACCCTGACTGTGAGAACCTTATGACAATGGGGCCAATGACCTAGGGAGGTGGTGGGCTTTCCTATGCTAGAGGCCTTCAAGATGCGGCTGGACAGTCATCTGAGAGGGATGGTTCAGCAGGGGGTTGGACCCAAGGGCCTTCTGGCCCTTTCCAACTATGATTCTATAATTCTGCGGGTCTATGATGTTGAAATCACCAGGACGCGCTCCAACGGAGCCAAGCTCAGGGAACCCAGGTTCCATTTGGATGCCAGGAAGCGCTTCCTGACAGTCGGGACCCCGAGGGTGTGGAATGGGCTTCCACGAGAGGCCGTTGAGGCCCCATCGGTGCAGGTGCTCAAGGATAGGCTGGACGTGCACATGGCGGGCATGTCGTGAGCGGAGCCGGCTGGTGCTGGAGGTCAGACTAGATGGCCCAGGAGGCCCCTTCTGACTCGCTCTGTTTCTATGTTTCTATGAAATCCCATGGTCTTGCAGGTGATGCTCCAGGAACATCTCTTGGAGCTTGCAGTATCCCCCCATATGATTTTTACTTTAAATTTTTTTTAATACTTCTACTATTATTAGTATTAACTGGGGGTGGGGCTGGTCTGCTGCAAACGGGATTACTCTTTGGGTTCACCAGGGCGGCCGTGGGTCAGGACTCACCTTAGATACGTGTTCCTGGGCAAGTTGTTCTTCCACAGCCTCCAGGGAAATGCAGCTCTTGCACCTGTGGCACAAGTGGTAGCAGCCCCGGGTGAATGGACAAGGCCACTCCAAGGCAAGCCCCTTTGCCAGAGCATCCCTGACAAGCTCTCACACGTCCAGACATGCTCACTGATCCAAAAAGACTGGTGGTACCTGCATGAGCTAAAACACCTTCGTGCTGGTGAACTTTCTAGATGCAGAACCCGCTTTCCAAGGCTTGCCATGGGGCTGCCCCGGGGATCAAGGATAAGCAAGGGAGGCTCTCCCCCAAAATCAGGCAAATGAAAGCTTTGCGCTCTTCCTTATGGCAAATAAGCCTTGAAGAGGCACACTGGCCTTGCAGAATTGGGGAAAATCTGTGTGGAAGTGGGGGACTGGCTCAGTGGCTTGGGCCGGCACCAGGTCATGTGGGAAGGCTTCTCCAAACCTCGCTTCCTGGGAGGAACAGATTCAGTTCCTGCTCTTGGGTGATTTCAGCCATCATGTCTCCCTTCTCTATCTGTCCCAGCAGGTGAATGCCAGTTCCTGCACTGTGAGCCATGCGGGATCACAGAGTGGGCTTAGTGTGCCCAGCCCCTTCGCTGAGATAGCCATGGACAGCTGCAAGCACAACGGGGGCATCATCAGACCACTGAGCGGCCTGAGCAGCTCCTCCCACCACAACCTCCCCGAGCTGGATGCAGAGACTCAGCCCCTGCAGACCTTCCCTGACTCCGGCTTGGAGGTGGTTGTCTCCAGGCCGGAGCACAGGAAGGCCTCAGATGTCTGCCTGGGCATCGGGGCTGAGCACCGCTCCCATGGCCACAAGAGAACCCAGAATGTTGGCTACCGACTGGGCCACCGGCGAGCCCTCTTCGAGAAGCGCAAGCGTCTGAGTGACTATGCCCTCATCTTTGGCATGTTCGGCATTGTGGTCATGGTGACAGAGACGGAGCTTTCTTGGGGAGTCTACACAAAGGTAAGCAAGGGCATCCCGTGGCTGTGGGGAGCCTCTGAGCAGAGAGTGTGTTGCAAGGGTCCGGGTAGGGCCTTCCCAGCTTAAGTGCCCCCCGCCCCCCCCACACACACAGGTAGAAATGCCTTTTCCAAGGTGTGGCTGTGGACACAGGTGTCTTAAACAAAACCTGCTGGAGGTCCACCCCTTTGCCCCACCCCCCAAATATGCCTCTCAAGGGCTTGTCCGGAAGAGAATCTGGCCCTTGGACTGCAAAACCTTCTGTGTGCATGCACACACACTCACTCACACCTCATTCCACGAGTCTTGCCATGGGAACGTGCAACCCTTTTCAGCCTATGGGCCAAATTCCAGTCTGGAAAAGGTGTGTGGGGAGTGCATTTCCCTTGTGGGCCAGGGCCAGACTACGGGTTCTGTCCGATGCCGAGCCTTCTCAGGAGCAAACCAGTCTCGTCACTTTCCTGCCTGCCCTAGGGGTAAAAGCTAGGCCAGTGGGGGACAGGGGGAACATCCCAGTCTTTGTCTGGCCCACCAGACAGGCTCTCCTGGAACAAATCACTGGATTAAAAAAATGTTCTCCCCAGTATGTATGCCATGGATCTGAAAGGGGTTTGGACACCTATGAGATAGGCTCGGTTGAGAGTCTGGCCCAACGCCCAGTCAGGTTTGGAGCCCAGTGAGATCCCGGATTTCCCAGATACTTGAAGCACTTGAACTGTTCTGCAGCCATATGCACAGTTGCACATCCATATGGCATTTCTGCTGTAGAACTCAGGGCATTCTGCAGAGATATGGGACAAAAGCCCTGAGTGGTAGGCCAGGCCTGAGGGCAGTGACTGGCTCAAGATTAATCGATGGATTGCCAGTGGATAAGTACAGAAATTAGAGCTGCTGCAATTCACTTCAGCTCCAGGTCCACTGACTGGGCAGAGGTGAGTTCTGCCTTTTATCTTGCAATTGTTAGGCTCCGCCCCTTTTCCCTCTGGTTCTGTCCCTTACTTCCCAGGCTCCTCCTGTAAGTCCCAAGGATAGATGTACAGAAAGGGAGCTCCCAGATTTCACCACACAACAGGAACAGTGGGGCACGTTATATGGTGTTTGTGGCTAACGTGCTTGTCTTCTTTGTCCATGTCTCTCTCGGTTCCCCTCCAGGAGTCTTCCTATTCCTTTGCCCTGAAATGCCTTATTAGCCTGTCCACCATGATCCTTCTGGGACTCATCATTATGTACCACGCACGGGAGATACAGGTGAGATGCTGCCACCTTGCCCACTTCTGTTTTGCTTCCCGCAAGGGCAGCACCTTGTGTTTCTTTCACTTCTGTTTTCATTCTGGATCTGTTCACCTGCACGCCTGGAAAAGTTGCTCAGGGCAGCCAACAGGCTCCCACAGAACAGCATTAAATGTACATTTGTATGTACAATGTAACAGGAAAGGAAATGAGGAGGGAGGAGGAAAAGAATCCAGAATTCAGGCCGTCATTCTTAGTTTGAAAGCTTTTATAGATGCTTGCTCTCTCATGCAGAGAAAAGCCACCTCTGGCCAATTTTGGGGGCTAAACTGCTTTCCCTTTGCCAAGTTTGTTCTTCCAGGGGGAGGGAGAGGTAAGTATACAGCCTTCCAGTGGCCAATAATTTTTTAAATCATATTTTTAACCTCACCTGTTTCACCAGGCCCTGTCCTAAACAAATAAATCAGTGCAACCTGCAGAGGTGGCCAACTGAGCCCCAGGCCTTGGGGGAAGAAACACTGGCAGCTAGCTGATGTAGCCCCCGCCCCAACTTCCCTCTGGGTTCAGCCATCCTGGGGGGGGGGGGGCTGGGGGGGAATCTTTCTAGCAAGAGTCTCATGTTTACTATTTAATGCACTGTCTCAGTTGAGCCATTTGGACTCACTGACCCAACAAAAGACCTGCTCTTGTCGGACGTGAAAAGTGCTGGAAGAGTTTATTGCAAATGATCCGAATCTGGGAGTTAGGGTTAGGGTTTGGGGGAAAAGGAGTGGATGGAGACACCAGGGCTCCCCGGTTGCTGGAGCCTGGGGCCACTTCTTGCAGCCCAGCCACCACAGAGGTGGGCAGCACCTTTGCAAGGTCCTGCAGGCATCTGGAACTGCATAACTATTCCACTTCCCAAATCATGTGGGCATGAATCCAAATGTGAATGCAACCAGGGGCATGATTCTCAGGAAATGTTTGTGACTTTCTGAACCTGTGTTCATGTTCAAAAGCATGCATTTGCCCAAATGCACACTTGCACAAATACTCCACATTTTCACACTTCAATGTGTGGAGTAAATGCACATTTTTGATTAGGAGAAATACATGTTTTTTTTTAAATGCATAGGTTTCAGTGGGGAAAATTGCCCACCTTTTTTCTGATTAAAATATGTACAATTTCCCAATTTAAAAAAAATCTTCACATCCAAGAACATAAAAGAGATGTCATGTTTTGAGCAATGATGTGGAGCATCTCAGCAAGCCTGGACTTGCATGTTGGCCTATCTCAGCAAAATATCTTTATCGGGCCAGCCCAAAGATCACACCAGAAAGGGAACAGAGAATGCAAGCAAGAGGGGCGAGCTGTAATGAGGTCACAGACTTGAAGTGCGGTTGGTGAGGAGGGATGTGTGATGGTCCCTTCTAAGCACATGGTTTGAGACTCTAACCACTACACCATACCACCTCTCCACTGAAGAAGGCTGCCTTGGGGCTTATATTGTCACAGATCCAGTGTGATTCAAACCTTGAGAGATGGAAAGGGAAAGACCTGAGACAGGAAAATTGGGGAGCGCAGGGGCGGACGGGCGGACAAGGAGAGACTTTGCTGCAAGATGGTGACAGAAGAGCTGAGGGCGGGGGGGGGGGCACGTGCTACTTTCCCCCGCCTGCACTTCAAGAGCAATGGTCATAGGCGAGCTGCTGCGGGTGTTTGGACTAGCGCCACACTGACTGGGTCCGGCGATGGGAGTTGACGTCCAACATCCCTGCCGCCCCGGGCAGAGGAAGGCTCTGATGATCTTCCTGCCCAGGAAGCGCTAGCGCTGTTCTCCTGTTGCGAGAATGCGCTTCTTCCATGGTGCGAAGCCCCCTCTCCTGCTGCAAGAAGCCCTTCCTTTTCCTGTGGCTGCCACTCTTTCCCCCATGGCTTCCCCCTTCTTTGCGGAGTAGTTTGTCCCTTGGTAATAACACCCTCCCTGGTTGCCAAAACCCCCTTTCTGCGAGGTCCTTTTCCCGTTCTAGTAACCCCCTTCCAGGAACTGTCCTTGACGTGCTACCTTTATATCCCACCTTTTCTCCTCTTCTGAGGATCTCCGGGTGGCTTGCATAGTTCTGTTTTAGCCTCCCAACAAGAGCCCTGTGAGGTAGGCAGAGCAGGCAGGGCCAAGAGCCTGTTTCTGGCCTGGTCCCCAGGGAGCTTCGCGGCTGAGCCCACGTCGTTGGCAGTCTCACCGCCGGCCACGCTCGCCGCGCCCCGCGCTGGCTGTGGCAGCCCCCTTGCCCTGCTGTCCCGAGCCCCTTATCCAGCCGCAGCAGAGGAGCCCCTTTCTGCTGCAGCAGCGCCCCTGAACGCCGCGCTGCATAAGCGCCCTGCCCGCTCGCCATGCAGCTCTTCATGGTGGACAACGGGGCCGACGACTGGCGCATTGCGATGACGTGCGAGCGCATCTTCTTCATCTCGCTGGAGCTGCTCGTCTGCGCCATCCACCCCATCCCGGGGCAGTACTTCTTCACGTGGACCACGCGCCTGGCCTTCAGCTACGCCGCCTCAGCGGCCAGCGCGGATGCGGACATCGCCCTCTCCATCCCCATGTTCCTGCGCCTCTACCTGATCGGGCGCGTGATGCTGCTGCACAGCAAGCTCTTCACCGACGCCTCGTCGCGCAGCGTCGGCGCCCTCAACAAGATCAGCTTCGACACGCGCTTCGTCATGAAGACGCTCATGACCATCTGCCCCGGGACGGTGCTGCTCGTCTTCAGCGTCTCCTCCTGGATCATCGCGGCCTGGACGGTGCGCGTGTGTGAGAGGTAGGCGCCTGCCTCCCCCTGCCCCCCAGCCAGGTGTAAGGCAGGCAGGGAGACCCTTCTCTTCCTCGGTGCAGACTCAGCCACTTCCAGCGCCTCTCCTTGCCTCCTTTTTCCTGAACCAAAATCCCATGTATGTACCTATATATCAGACTTTTCATCCACCTCGTAACCAGATTATTTGGGCGGATTATGAACAGTTCAAATATGTGAACACAGTGTAATGAGGGTTAGAGAACTGGGCTGGAAGCAACTCCGGGGATCCAGTTCTCACTCCCACCTGCCCATGAAGTTCTCTGGGTGACCCCCAGCCAGTTGCTGAATCTCGGCCCACCGGGCTTGTGTTATGAGGATGAAATTGGGTTCATCCTGGGTGAAAGAGCTTGCCTTGCGTTCCTTGCCCAGGGAAGACAGACAGGGCATCAGGGTTATAACAAGGAGACCAAAATATTTAAAAGAGCAATTATATTGAAACAGCTTCCGCCAGACTTCTGGATCTGGCTGAGGAGGGTAGGAGTTGTCATGTGACACAATGGAGGGTGCCATGGTAGGAAAGTCCGGTGGGAAGGTGCTCCCCACTCCCAATATTTTGGGGTATGGCCTTTTGTGGTTCTGGCAGATGATGCTTGTGTACACCTGGAGGAGGGCGATATCGAACCTGGAGTTACTTGCATGCAAGCACATGCTCCACTGCAAATGATGGCCCTTTCTCTAAAAGTAAGATAAGGTTCTAGTTCTCATGGTTCTGTACCAAGGCTGAATCCAAATGCAAAATGTAGGAAGCAGCCTTCTATCCAGTGAGGCCTTCAGGCCCTCTGACCTGGCACTGCCCACACAGATGGACAGCAGGGGTATTTCGCAGGATGCCAGGAGATGCCAGGGATTGAAGGCGAGGTCCTCTACCAGAAAAAGCAATTGCTATGCCTCTCGCAATGGCCCCTTCCTCTGAATGTCCCCCTCCATCATCTGGCCACAAGTTCCACAAGGGCAGCTGCTTATAAACATGTCTGGATCCCTGACTTCCAAAATCGCACTGTTAGGAAGGACCGCCAGCACACATTAAACCCAGGCCTGGCACGGAGATTCTGAGATCTCTTGACCTAGAATGGCTAGCTCAGCACGAGCAAATCTCTGCTGGGCAGTGACTTGCTTCCAGGCCCTTTGGTAAACTGCAGGCTGTGGCGTGCATTGCCATGCCTGCAGGAGCAGGTTGTCTTTGCACCGGGAAGGAGCCTGCTTGCCCTCCTCAGCAGCATCAGATCCCTGGCCCCAGCCAGTTCCCGCCTCCGTGTCATTGGTGTGCTTCCTCACTCCATCCTGTGATCTCACTTTTCTCTCTGTTGCTGTTGTTGTTTCCTCCGGCCTTGAAATGCTCAATAACACGGTTGTTGTTTTCCTTCTTTTCTCTCCATGGTGCTTCTGGTAGGGATAAACTGTGAGTCCCGTTTGGTAGTTGCCAAGGAAAAACCTTGCACAGCTGCCAGTGCTGGGGTAGAATTTAAGATTAGCTGCCACTCGTGGGCTGGCTGGGAGGGCCACAGAGGGACCCCCAGGTGGGTCAGAGAACCTCTGGGCTGTCAGCCTTTGCAAGCTGGTGTGTCTTCCACTCACAGCATGGCTGGCCAGTGGTCAGAGTCCAGCACATTGAAGGGACCAGGCAGAAGAAGGCTGATCGAGCTTATAGATGGAACCTCTTCTTCTCTCCACTGGTCATTTTCACCTTTGCTGCATGTCTTTTGTTTGACTTTCCAGCAAATCCAATTTTCTGCAACCCATTTGGGGAAGTGAGTCAATTTGGCATTTTGAGAGACTGCTGTCGGCACTCTCACAAAATGGCTGCCATGGGGGCGGGGGTGGCTTTTTCATAAAATGGCAGCATTCTGCTTCTTAAAATGTTCCCAAATTTTGTTCAGGACTAGGACACAATTGATGTGATGTGGCTGTAGAAAGGCTAATGCTCAATTTGGCTGCAATAACAAAAGCAGGGCTCCCAATCACAGGAGGTCCTGGGTACCCTCTGTCTGGCATCCCTACTCAAGTGCTGCATCCATTTCTGGGCTCCACACTTCATGAAAGATGCAGACAAATTTGGAAGGGTTCGGAGAAGAGTGGCGGGGATGAGCAGGGGTCTAGAAGCAAAGGCCGATCAGGGGAGATTGAAAGAACCGGGCATGTTTGGCCCTGAGAAGAGGAGATTGAAGGGGGATAGGAGAGCACTTTTCAAATTCCTGCAAGGCTATCACATGGCGGAGGGCCAGGATCTCTTCCCATTCATCCCAGAGTGCAGGACATGGAATAACAGGCTCAAGCTGCAGGAAGGCAGATTCTGGCTGGACAACGGGAAGCACTTCCTGGCTGTTGGAGCAGTAGGAGATTGGAACGGATTACCTAGGAAGGTTCTGGCTCTCCCACTGGAGGCACTCAAGATGCGACTGGACAGCCCTCTGTCCGGGATGCCTTGACTTGGGGTCCTGCAACAGAAGGTTGTTGGACCCAATAGCTTCCAGCTTTATTTTCCGATGGCTCTGTGGCTTTTCCTCTGGACTCCTTTCATGTTCCCAACTCAATGAAGTGCCTACCCAAAACTGTCCCAAGGCTGACGCTGTGTGTCACTGGCCGGCCGCACACGTGTGACATTCAGAACAACAGAAGTCTTTGGGATGTTTCTCTGGGCAGGCCCCTTCCCTCAGCCCCCTCACCCAAGTGAAGCCGGGCCGAGCCACTTGCACAAGATGGGGGCAGGGCCCAGGAAACAAATCATTATGGATGTAAATGCTGGCAGTGCCACCAGAAACAGGAGGTGATCCTTAATCGTGGAACAAGGTCTCTTCGTCAGGTTAGCGCAGTCTGTCCTTCTGTGTTTAATCTTGCCAGAGGGTAGGAAATTGTAATAAATGAACAAAACTGGGGACAAGGGGGCTGCATGTGCTTGCACACACACGCAGGCACACCATTTGCAGGTTGAGCTACTTATTGCAGCAGCCTTCTCCAAACTCATGCCTTCCAGACGTCTTGAATGACAGCTCCCATCCCCCAGCTGTGCAGGCTGGGGTGGATGGGAGTTGTCGTCCAAGTCATCTGGACAGCACCAGGTTGAGACTGTGGGGGAGGGGACAATCCAGCTGTGGATTGTCCAGCTGTAGAATTTCTTTAATCGTGGGTGGTCTATTTGGAATGGTCTCTCATTGACCTATGCTCTTTCCATTAAAAGGAGAACAAGCATCTAGTCCTCGTGGTGCTCAGTCGAGGCCTGGTCTAAATGAGAACATAATGAACATGGGGCAATGTAGGAAGCTGCCTTGGATCCTCCCTGAGAATCAGTCCAGCCGGCCTGTTGCCCACACAAACTCTCTAGCAGCAGGAGCTGACCAGACGTTCACATGGGCTGCCTAGGGATTGTGAGCTGCCTGGGATGCCACTGGTGGAAAAGGTGGCATGCAAATATCTTAATGAATAATAAGTGAACAAATGGGGTCTTTTGCAGCCTACGCAGTTCTGCCTGCTGAACACGCTGCTTTGCCACTGCACTCTGGAGTACGTTCCCTCCAGATTAAGTAAATTCTAGTCCTCACGGTTCTGACTACAGGGCTGCGTGCCCATTGGGTTTCCACATGCTGAGCAACCAAAGCAGATGTGCAGAGTGCTCTCCTTTAAAAGAGGTCACATTCTGGGCCTAGTGATGCTAAATAAAGGGCTGACTCAGGGAAATGGAGTGCTGCCCACGCCAATCCTCTGGTCCATCCAACGCAGGATTGGCTGCTGACTCTCAAGGGTCACAAGCGGGGAGAGGAGCTGGACCCGGTGGCCTTTCTACTCTGTGATTGTGCACCCTGTTTCAATAGATCTGGCACCTGAATCAGGGAGCAGCATTTCAGCTTCTTGGTTATAACTTTGCCAAATGACAGCTCTCCCTACCAACTGCAAAAGGGGCCTCGGCCAACAAGGCGAGCACTCGTCCTCTTCTCAAGAACATTTACCTGCCACCCAAAAGGCATCTCTGAATATCACCTTGAAGTTATTCTCAAGAGATGCTCCATGTTGTCTTGAAAATGCTTCTTTCCCCTCTTTCTGTTAAATTGGCTTGCTCGTCCCTTGGATGCCTCCCCCGCCACGGTGCCTTGCAGGGGTGCAATCCCAGCATCCTCAAGCCAGCTGTGTCAGGGGACGACTGCCCTTGGCTTTTCTATATCTCCCAAATTTGGAAAGTGCTTGATGCATAAGAAGGGATGTTTCCAGCTGCTAGAACTGGGAAGTGAGGGCCAGATTTTCAAACAGGCAATGCAGTATCTTTGGTTGTCTCTTTACTGATTGCAATGTTTGCCTTTCCCTATTTGCCTCATTCCCTGCCAAAGACTTCCAATTCTGTTTGGAATCAGAATGTACTATGGAGAGAGAAAGGGCTGGTGTCCATTAACTTGTACAGTTCCAAGAGAGGTTTGTTTAGGATGTGGGACATGAAATTTTCAGATGAGATCAATGTCATTTAGATCCGTTTGCAATCCGGGAACATTTTGGTGAGAAATGGACCACCTTTTATGGGTGACGCAGGCAGCCTTGAGAAGGTTTGGACTACAGTTACCATCAGCCCCAGGCAGTGTGGCCAAGCATCCTTGGAGTTTCTTCCTCTTTCCACGGGATTGTAGGCACAGTGTGCCTGGTCTAATATTGCCCCAGTTCTACTGTGCTTTTGCTGCATTGATTTTCTCTCCCGGCCACTGCATCCTTGAAATGGTCTCATTGTGGCACTTCACAAGGGTGACATCTTCGCCTTAGGTTCCAAGCCAGCCTTGCAAAGATTCATTCACCTGCACACCTCTTTGGGCAGGACAGACTTCTGTCGTGGACTGGATATGCCACTGGAGATAGGGAAAAGGCACAGAGTGGGGCAAAGGGCTTTGGGTCATGCTGGGCATGGAGCAGTCCTAAATTCCTCCCCTGGCGTGGCCTGGCATTGTCTGACTTGTCCAGGCCTCCCTGTTGCTGTTGGGCTTGGTTGTTTCCCT